GGGCTCCAGCCCCCCTAAAATAGGCCTAGTGATGCCAGTGTTTACCCTTTCATTTTGTTAGGTAAATTGAAGGTGGCTGCAAGTACAGTATGTTAACATAAACTGTAAGTTGATTTGTAATACAAAAATAATATGGTTCACACACATAAAATAATCTAAAATAATATTTATATGCAATAAATTGCATAGTCATACAGTTATATTCCCTAAAAGTTTATGCATTGTGCTCTTGTTTGCTATAAAGTCATAGAATACATTTTCAACAAAATGATTGTCAATGATTTTAAAATACCCCTAAATTTCCTCAGTGTGATGTATTTCTTATGACCACTGGAGACAATTGTTCTCTCTGGTGTCATGATGATTGTCTTCACTGCCCACTAAGACTTATCTAAAGAGTTTTTTTTACCTTCAGTCATCAGAATATCTTTTTTATTGATTTGCATTAGGCCTCACCTACTTCCTGTTTTCTATTATTAATGTATTGAATAGGAAAAAAAAATAGCAATAAAGTAGGTAGGACCTGAGAATGCAGACTGAACATGAGGAGCTCAAAAAAGTAAAATCCAAAAATTACAATTATAAACATGAACAAGGAATAATAAGGCTATCTTCAACTGAACTGATGGAAAATACTAATGAAGTCTGGAAACAGAACGAGACAAAGGAACAAACTAAATATCATGAAAAATAAACATGAAAATCCACTAGAACTAAAAACATGGATCTTTAAAAAAGAGTAAAGAAATGCTCTGAAATGATCTTTAAAGTAGACACATCAGGCTTTTAAATCCTTTTTTTTTCACATTTAAATCATTCAGTTGGGGTCTATATAAAGTGGAACTGCAACACTTTGATCTGAATCCATGTCAACTTGTATGGATTGTCCATAAGTTATAAGGATTTTACYTCATTTTGCAGGTATACGAACGTATAGAGCACACTCACGGATTTTTTCAAGCTTTACGGATTTTTTCAAAACCTCATTTTCTAATTTATCTAACATGTCAGAGCCTGTAGGATGATTAAAAAAAACAATAAAAAACACCAAACAGCCATCTTCCAACCTGTTCTGCCACTGGAAATAAGTTTTGAACTTTTTCCGCTCTCCTTTCATC